GTGGGTGCGCACTCGGGAGCTTGGGAAAGTGGCTTTGTGCTCCAGGTGGGCTCTCCAAGGCGCAGAGGGGGCCTCTCGCTTCCCGCTTCCCCCTTTTCCCGCTCCGCGGGGGTGCCGGCCGTGCCGGCGCGGCTCAGCGCGGTGTCTCCCCAGGAACGCGGCGCAGGAGGGGAGGCCATGACCACCGACGAGGCCACCAGAAGCGAAGGGGAGGTGCAGGCGGCGGCGCCGCCGGAGCGCGGCGAGGACATCACGCCCGCCCGAGACCGAGGGGTCCTCAAGGTGAGGCCGGCGGCGGCGCCCCCGGGCCAGCCACGGAGCAGGGAACAGGGTGGACTCTCCCCCTTCCCAGCCCTCGGGTGGTCTGGTGCTTCCAGGACTCCCAGTTTGATCCCTTTGGAAGCACGGGGAGATGAGCGTGTCCGGTGTCACTCAGAGTAACCGAGGCTGGAGTGGCATTTGAGCCACAAACTGCAGCACTGCTTCAGTCAGCTCAGTGAATTTCCCTGCTGCTGTGTTTCTAATCAGATTATTAGCTGTAAATCCACAAAGCATTTCTGTGTGTGACTCACAGACATTAGAAAGAGCACATTACTTAGGTCATCTCCTCTGCTCTATACCCCCCTTTTCATATTCACGGCCATTTCTGGATCGTTCTCCTACCCAGCGCTTGCTCTTCTCCAGTTCAATAGGACCTTTCCTCTAATAATAGCATCCTCCCCTGCCTCCATCCTGAGCCTGAGAACTGCTTGTTCCAGGCTGTAGCATTACCAAAAAAAAAAAAAAAAAGTGTTGACAAGAAGCAAGTAGTGAAATGACACACCCCTGCGAGGAGAGTTCGTACGGACAGAAAATAAGTAGATTTGCCTTCGCTTTGGCTTTCTGGCCGTGCTGTTTGCTCAGACACCTCTGCCGAGCGTCAAGCGCCGGTCCTGGGCCGAGCTCTGCCCGGCCGCCGCGCGCCGCGGCTCCGGGCTGCGCCTGGGGCTTGGGAGGAGGGTTGGTGAAACGGCTCCTTCTCTCTCTCCAGCTTTCCCATGGGATAGGGCGGCATCGGGAGACTGGCTCGGGTGTGGGACAGCAGCGGTAGCTGCTTCTCGCTCTCTTCCCTAGATTATTAAAAGGCCTGGCCATGAGGATGAGTGTCCCATGATCGGAGACAAGGTGTACGTGCACTACAAAGGAAAACTGGCCAATGGCAAGAAATTCGACTCGAGCCGCGACCGGAACGAGCCGTTTATCTTCAGCCTGGGCAAAGGTAAGGAGCGGGGCCGCAAGGAGCAGGACCACAGGCTGCAAGGAGCGGGGCCACGGGCTGGAAGGAGCGGGATCGTGGGCTGGAAGGAGCAGGACTAGGGGCTGGAAGGAGTAGGATTACGGGGCTGCAAGGAGTGGGATCGTGGGGCTGGAAGGAGCAGGACTAGGGGCTGGAAGGAGCGGGATCGTGGGCTGCAAGGAGCGGGATCTCAGTTGCCATCCCGTTGTGGCACTGACATGTCTGGGGACAGCGAGCACTGCAGCGCAGAGGGGCCGCCTCAGCCCTGCGTTTTCCAGCTTCTGCATCCTCAGTGCGTTTCTTGCCGGCACCTTCGTTGCGACGCCCCAGCTCTTTTTTCAGCCGCTGCAAATCGTTCTCTCCTGCCTGACCTCTGCCTTTCTCCTAGGCCAGGTAATCAAGGCATGGGACATCGGGGTGGCTACCATGAAGAAGGGAGAGATCTGCTACTTGCTGTGCAAACCAGAATATGCCTACGGCTCTGCTGGCAGTGCCCCCAAAATCCCCTCCAACGCAACCCTCTTTTTCGAGGCAAGTACAGCGTGGAAGCCGGGCTGCCTGGGTGAGCGAGCGCTTTCCCTTCGGCTTTGCCAGCCAGCTCAAAAAAAAACAGCTTGGATTCCTGAAATGTGTCCCTCCGCTCCAGGAACCGGTGCCAGTGTTTTCTCAGAAATTGTGTGTCTGAACTGGCGAGGCCGCGACCAAAGAGCAGCTCCGCCGCGCGGCCCAGCAGAGAGGCCTGGCTGGGAAGCGCGGGGAAAGCGCTGGCACAAAACGGGGAGGACAAATAAGATTCCTGGGTTAAAAACACACGCGGAGCGGAGCAGAACAGCTCGGAAATGCCTTCACGTGCTAAAAAATCGATTAATGCCCCCGGGTGGCATGCGAGCGAGTTCCTGGCATGGCCGAGCAGCGGGTCAGCGGGCTCTGTGTACATGTGTGCTTGGCAGGGCCTCGCAAAGCCTCGGCAGAAGAAACAGGTCCGTCAAATCAAAGCTCAGTCCCTCCAAGTCCTCGCGACGGTTCAGTTGCTTTTTGCACCGCGGATCTGAGCTGGGCTGGTATCATCAGCAAATTAAGTGGAAACTCCCTGTTTTTGGGCTGCCTTTGGAGCCGTTTTCACTGCACCTTCCGGTGCTGTTTGCACTGCACCCTCGCAGCATTCACCAACTTAGTTTTACTTTGTGTTACATTGCAGGTACTGGATGTGGCCCAATTTCTAATAAATTGGGTCTATTATACTGTGGCTTGGAGCTGGCTTTTATGGGCAACTTTTGCTTGTCAGCTGAATGGAGAATTAGTTTGCTTGGCTCTGCAGCCCTAGGATGAACTGTTGCTTTGTGGGTTTTTTGCTGTTTTTCTTCTCTCCTCCCCCTCCATCCAGAGCTCTGCCTAGTGTTGTGTTTTTTTTTTCTCTCTAACTTTCAGGTTGAGTTGCTTGATTTCAAAGGTGAAGACTTATTTGAGGACGGAGGGATAATTCGGAGAATCAAGAGGAAGGGAGAAGGTTATTCCAACCCAAATGAAGGCGCTACGGTGGAAAGTGAGTATCAGTCTCTCTGCAGCGTATCTCTATAGGCACCAGAGCAGCGAAGTGCCGGTGTGGGATGGGAATGGTGACCCTCTTTGCATTCGGAGAGGGAAGCCTAAATAGGAGCAGCCTGTTTTGTTGCTGCTGTTTGCTTTTTCCTTTATTTTCCCCATTTTTCTCGCAACGCCCCAGCAGAGCGTGCCGGGAGGGCAGCGGTTAACCGCTCTGCGTGTCGGCGTTTGGTGCGTTCACACACAACTCTCCCTTGGCACGGCCCGCTGGCTCTGGGGGTTTGCTGGAAGGCTTCCCACACAGGCAGCTGATGATGGAGTGACCACTTGGATATCACCTGTGCTCTGTTTTCCTAGTCACGCTGGCCCCCAGTCCAGGCTCCAGGTTTGACAACCAGCACCTTTCTGCAAACCCCGGAGCTGCTGGGGAGGCAGCTCCCGCAGGGCATCGGGGCTGTTGCTCCTCTGCTGTCACCCCTGTCCACTTTGCACCTTCCCACTCTTGTTCCACTGTCCAAGCGGCCTCGAGGATGCACTTGTCCTCGTGTCCAGCACGTTGGCTGCCCCGAAAACCCAGGCCCTGGATTGTCTGGCGTTGTCTCGCATGAAGTTTCACCTCTTAGCCCTGGTAGCAGGGCAGCCTTCGCTTGCCTGAGTTACCTGCTGAGTGTTTTGGGCACGTCTCCTTGTCTGAAGGAGGCAATAGGCACTTTCTTTGGACTCCTTGTTCTGATGTTTATCGTCATTTTGGTGGTTTCCATTGCCTCTGCTGCAGAATGGAGCCCTTTCTTTTCCCTTCCGTGTGGCCAGAGGGTTGTTGCTAACTTCTCCTCGCCGCTGACGGGAGGGAGTAAATTAATACAAAGGATTTGCTGAAGTCGGTGAGGTCTTAACTGACATCAGAAATTGGCCCAAAGATAATGAGCTGGGCTCTCATTGAGAGCGCTGTGAACACCCTCTCCATAACCGCGATGGAGTAATTCTGGTCACGTTTCTAGAGCAAACATTGCACATAGGGTGGGAGTTAGGCTAGGGAGAAAGCCAGATTCCTTTTCATTTTATTTTTTTTTCTTCCCAAGAACAACTCAGCCATAGAGCTGGCGCTCGCTCGATATGTGAGGCATTTAGTTTCCTCTCTCCGTTTCGGAGCTTCTGTGCATCAGGAATCTGATTAACTTCCTTCGGCAAACGAGCAATTGGATCTGAACTGTTGCAGCACATAAAACTTCCTGCCTTAAACAACTAGTTCTTGCTTTTAGTTCTTTTTTTACTACTTTTTTAAGGAAAAAAGAGTAATTCTTTCAGAGTCAGATTGGACCTTCTACTGTCACATGTTTAATAGCATAATTATATACATTGTAACCAGCTGGGAATAGAGTTTCAAGCTTACTTCACTGTATCAAAGGTTAAATTAAAAAAAAGGCAGACTAAATATAACTGCAATCATAATTCCTGCATTCCTTCTCAGTCCTGATTTTTTTTTTTAAATTATTCTACTTAAACAGGCATTTAGGCTTGACTCTGGTAGGTAGGTGGGTGCCCAGAGCGGCGTCTCCTGCACGTTTTCTCCTTGACTCGTTCTTGAACATGACACTGGTCTAATTACTCAGAGCAGCACTGAGTCAGGAGGAGGGAAAATGAGTAATCGTTTCTCTGACAGAACCTAAAGAGCCAAATTGCTGGTCCGGAATAACTGTTCAGGGAGAGAATCCTCGTAGCCCTAAAGCCTGCTCTTTTTTTTTTTTTTTTTTTTCCTTAACCTATTTCAAATGATTGTTTAGTTTTGAGCAAATGCTCAAAGTGGGAGCACACGCACAGTCAAAATAATAGAGATTAATGCCCTCTGAGGCAATCTTGCATAACACACCCTGCCTGTGCAGGGCAGAGATCAGGAACTCTGTGCTAATCCCAGTGGCAACACTTGGGCCGTGCCAGCAGCTTGATTCATAGCCATTTACTAAGGTGGCCTTTAAGTCATTTGGATCTGCCTGTACGTGGGGGGCCTGGATACCCTTAAATACGTTCCAGTGTGCAAGGAGGGGAAGGAATAGCACCAGGCAAGCTGGCAGCCTTCCAGGGGAGCATTTTTGGGTAAGATAGGATAGATTTGCAAATGCAACAGTGGGTAACACTGCAAACCTTGCAGAGCTTTGCTCTGTATGGTGCTCTCATCCGATTCCCTTCTCTTGAAACCCTGTGTTAACTCTGGGAGCAGCACGAAGGTACCTGGAATTGCTGCTATAATTAGCTTGGAAGAAACTGCTTTGCTTCCAAGAGTGAGCATCCCTGGGCTGGTGTTTTTTATAGGTTTGAGTTTTACACACCGTAATTCATAGTTCCGGTTCCTAAAACGCAGGCTGCAGTAGAGATCTGACATTCCAGCTTTTGTTACAACCTTCCCCCCCCTTCCCTCCTCCCCGTTTTAATCTGAGTACAAATTGCTGTCAGCACATCAAGTTCATGTGCCAGCCGCACTCAGTACACTGTGTTCTGAGCTCTTCAAAAACAAAATCGCTGCAGGCACCCAGAGAACAATAAGTCAGTGCTGCAACCGAAGGGATGTGCGGCAGCCCGGCGGGGGCTTTTCTCTCTCTAATCCAAGAGCAACCGCAGCCAAGTGACCTGCTTCAGATAGCGCTGCAATGCTCCTGGAAACCGGAGCGGAGATTTCCGTGTGGCCGGGGTGTTTTTTAGGCGGTGTGAAGCAGGATGAAGCCCCTCCGCTGCCCTAAGGGAAGGGGATGGGGAGCTCGTGTCCCTCGGTGCAGCCCGGGAGCCCCTGCGTGTCCCTTTGCCACCCCTGCGTGGCCACCGCAGGGCTTTGCCGCAGAGCCTGTTGCTGGTCCTTGTGCTCCTCTCCTGCCGCCTCCCGTGATGTCCAGGACAAGGACAAGATGTTTTGTGCCCTGTAGGAACTCGGGTTACACCTCTCGCCAACGCAGGGACTCCAAGACGAGGCGGCAGCGCCCAGCGCTGCGGCGGGCAGGACTGGATTTTAGTTCCTGCAACAGCACCCTGTGCTCCGGGCTCCTCTGCCAGAGGTTTTGAAGGAGAAATTCATTTTTGATTCTTTTCCCAGTGGTTTGCAGCGTTCTTTTTGAAGGCAGGGAGAGCACCCAGCACCCCGGACCTCGGGCTGCAAAGCAAACTGGCTGCTTGGAGCGAGGGTCTCTTCTTTCTGAGTGTCTTTGCTGCCTTGTCCTGCTCTCCCTGCTGCACCTGCCTGTGCACGGGGAATATCTTCGGATTTCAGCTCTGCTCCACGCTAAGGCAAAGCAGCTCATTTCCTTCCAGGCTCTTAGGAAACATATGTCTTCCTCACTCCAAGGGCTGGCAACCCCAGCCCAGCAAGTGCCTGCTGAGTCTTTAAGCAGAGTTTTGACAACATTAATGCCTCCTATGAGTTTTTCCTTTTTAAATTTTTAACAGAACACTGAGATTTCTTACAGAATTGTTTTTTTTTTGCATATATTTGCCCACACACACGTCTATGCCTTGTGCTTTGGAAACAAAGTGCAAAGAACATCAGCCGTCCCTAAAGCACGTAACCATCTGCAGGACTGAAAAAAGAAAGAACAATCTCGCTTTGGAAATGTAGCCAGAAGTACCAGGTGGCAAATGTCTCGGGTACCTGGTGTCCGCTCGGGCTGTGTTCGTGCCAGCTCCTCTGATGAGAACAGCGTGGCCATTAGCTGAAGATTACAAAAATGTTTATCTTGTACTGCTGGTTCTTAGAGGCGGCAGAACACAGCCTTGTTATTTGAGGTATAAGGTGAGTGTATAGCGCTGTATGGGAGGCTCGTAATCGCCGTGATAAAGTGCTGGGCGTGTGGCAGCTTGCCAGGAGCAATATCCAGTTCCAGTAAGGCTGACTCGAACGGTTTCGTCCGAGGGGAACATATTAGTCACGATGTTTATCTGTTGTCTGGTCCTCGCTCGAGCGCGGCCGGCTCCGCTGCTTTTCAGTCACGCGTCTTTCCCAGCCCTGCCGTCCCTCGCTGGTCACCGGGGGCTCGTTGTGCTGGCCAGCATCACGGCGGATGGTGGCCCGGCCTCCGCGGCGCTCCGAGTCGGGCAGCTCGGAGCAGATGCCGGCGTCGAGCGGAATTTCCTTGGCACCGTTAACTGCAGCTGGGCAGATCCCAAACGCACTCCCGTTTTCCTCACGACAGCCCACTAAGGCAAAAAATGCCTTATAAAATGCTTACTCCAGAGCTATTTCGCCATGCCGGGGTGAAACTCTTAGCTGCGGGTGAATGGTGCCCAGTGCGGGTCCTTTTGCTTGGCGTGGGTTGTGGGCAGCCCTGTCTGGAGGCTGGGGAGTTTTGAAGGTTTCTGAAGGTTTGGGTGGGTTTGTTT